CTGTAGACTGCGAGTGATCTCGTTCTTTTCCTAGCGCGCGACGAGCGATCGAGCGGTGACAAGCCTGGCGCCGAGAACGTACAAGAAAAAATGAAAGACCTTCGCAGTCTTCGTAGTCGGTTTTTCCTGCCTCTTCTCATTCCCTCCGCTTTTCTTTCTCTAATTTGCGTAATCTAAACTCAGTCCCGAGCGCGGGGAATCCCAAGAATAAAGACCGACTTCTCGTAGTCTGAAGCTAATGTTACAGTTGCCTAAATTTGTACGTGAACTTGAAATACCCAGCCAACAAAATCGAGTCACTTTACGAGTCACTTTACGTAAAGGTTATCCAGCCATCCATTACGTACGCGATGCCCGTCTGGGGCGGGGTGAATCAGACAGAGTTATTTAAAACATTGGAAAGACAACATTGCCCTGCTGCTAGAATTGTTTTTGGCCTTCCACCGGACATGCCAACAGTTGACGTTTTAGCTACCGTTAAGTGGAACGCTTTAACATATATGTATAAACGTTCTTTAATTAAACTTTTTTTCAAGGGTTATCATGGCATGCCCCCTAGCACTTTGGCTGAAGAGTTGATTATCCACGGCGACAGACCTTCTTCACGACTGAAGCATGGGCTGATAGTACCGAGTTTTGCCTCCAAATACGTTAAAAACTCAATTTCCTATAGAGGGGCTGTCCTCTGGAACGCTATAGGGTGAACTAATAGATCGATACTAGAGAGCACAGACCTGAAATCTTTTTTGAAGAATGTTGTTAATTGTAACACTTTTAAGGAATTTAATTTTAATGTTTTAGCCCCACAAATAATTAACAAAATATCGGAGAATTTTATTTATTTTTAACTATTGATCTCATTCCTTGTTATCAAAATTATATTTTTTATAAGAATTACTTAATTCTTGTATTAATTATTTATCTATTAATTGTAGTTATTTTATGTATCTTATTAGTACACGACCCCACAAGCTTGTTAGCTTTGACGTCTATTGTCGTGTATAAATAAAGGTTGTATATGTATGTAGTGTGGCCGTTAATAATTCACACGCAAAGTAAATGGTGTACATGCGGGTCTAATGGTTGTCCTGGAAGATTTAAGCGCGGAATGAAATTGAAACCAGCTCAACAACAGATCTCTCCTTCTTCGTTTCCTTCAAGGAAATGCTCTTTGTCACGAAAAAGTTGTTACCGTTCCGTGATCTCTTTCTTTTACAGCAACAACAAGATAGCAGTTTGACGACTTCTTGTCGAAATCTCGGACAGCGAAATGAGTAAACCACAGGGTTAGCCGCTGAACCGAACAGAGCAAGTAACATGGAAAATAGTTGGTATTTCGTGGTGTTTTCTCCATTTCCAAATCGCTCCACGATGGGTCTTCCGAATGTTGGAGTCCAAGTAAATAGAAATGTTATAGTAAGGATAACAAAGAGTTTTGTTAATTTGCGTCGTGACTTGAAAACGGCAAGATTTGTTGCTCTGTCTTCGGTGTTGAACCAGACGTGGTAAATAACCCGAGAATAACAGAATATAATCACAGCACTCGGTAAAACAAGACCAAATGCCAAGAGAACAAATATGTAAATTGCGCTAAAAATTTCGAACCAAGCTGCAGCCCCTGTTGTTACGTTCGCCAGCTGTAAGTTGCTTGTTCCATTCATGATCGGAGCATTCTCACAACAATACGGAGAGCTTTCAGAATCAACAATGTACCCTCCAGCGCTCAAAATGCCCACCCAAATCCAAATTGCGAGAGTGACTTTCCACATCAGAGATGTGCTCGCTCGTTTCAAATGCACAAAGGGTTTCAGAATAGCAAAATAACGCTCCACTGCCAGTGAAACGAGAAAATATATGGAAGCCAAAGCGTTCATGACGAATTGAAGAGAAGAATGTGGAACACTGTTCGAAATCAAAATTATGTCCAAGAAAGTGACAACGCCGAACCCGAAATCTGACCAAGCGAGGTTGGATATTAGGCATGTGTTCGCATTCTGCAGTTTCTTGTTTTTGGTTATTACCACAAAGACGAGAAAATTTCCAAAAACAGTGAAAAGGAGAAGTGGAATGGAAATTCCAGATGTGACGACAGGTAGCGCTTCCATATACAGATAAAAAACGACAAAAATTTGAAACGTTTTGAAATTAACAGCCTGCTAACTTCACGCAACTAAAACACGAAACCCTCTGTCATTTAAAAAAAATAATAAATTTAAAATCAATGTGTGCATGTAAAATACAATAAAAGTTTTATTCATTATACATGAGATTATTGTTAGTTGGCCAAACAGAGCTGGAGCGGAAATTAAAGCATAACTTATGATTTTGATTTCATTGGCTCGGTAAGACTACACAACATGTTTTCCAAGTAAATTGATAACAGTAAATGATCTATTGAAAAAAAAAATGCACATAGGAATTACAATAAAAACTCCATTTTATACATACAGAACACAGCGATTATACATGTTTGTTTTTTTTTTCCCAAAATGTTTCAGACTTGAGGTATATAGAGTAAGTCAAGTTTAGTTGGTTCTCGTTAATTCTTTTTATGTGATCAACAAACAATTTTAAATATTAATTTCCTGTCACTCAGCAAAGCATACAAATAATCATCTTGTTTTAAAAACTAACTTCTATCCTGAGTGCTTGTAATGTTCATACCTGCAGCTGATTTATCATAAAGCTGTTGGATTATAAGAACATCAAACTGTGCTTTTGTCTTATAGTCAAATAACTGCAATGTTTAATAATACATCTTCCTTAAAAACCTGTAATCCGAGGACTTGTGTCTTGTGTTCCTCGCGTCATCACCTGGATATTCCTCCATTTCACAAGATCAGCTAGTATATAGGCCAGTGGCAAAATTCAAAATTGTGATATACAACGTTTGACATTTTTCACAAAGGGAGTCGGGACTACATTTTAATCAGGCATCTTAAGGTTTCTGCCGTAAAAGTGAAGCTCAAGCATTAAATTTACATATAAATATTGGTCGGATCAACATAATTAAAATTTTGCATCCGATATTTTTGCCCGCATTTCAAATACTATGCCAACAGAGAGGCAAAACAATTTTATATGATGATGATAAAGGGATATGATTTTTAAACTCGTGGAGGTCTTAAGGAAAGAAAAAAATTGAAATTGAAAAAATTAAACAACTAAATCGACTCGTGTTATCTACTTATTAATCACTTTTAATTGAAAATATAAAGATATGCTGACTTTAAGGGTGGTTTATTTAGATCGTATTTATTCTTATCTAGTTCGGTCTCACAAAGCGCGAAATGCATAATCATAGAAAACAAGAACATACTCAATTTATCTCTACGAGATTAACTGTAGGAGGAAAAATTATTTTCTTTTACCTTTCAGGTTGATGCACAACACGCTGCCTGTGTGAATAGCGTGATAAGCTCTCAACAAAACATGAAAATAAAACAATCAGTTTTTTTTTTGCGGAAATGAAAACAGAGAAAATTTAGTGATGTTCGATGAGATGAAATATAATACCCGGTGATTTTTGTCTTCTTTTTCAGTTTGTACAACACCCTGCACAGCACGTTGTCCGTGGGAATAGAGTAACAAAATAAAACCAAAACCTGCAAAACACAACATAAGATCTAAATACGCGAACTAAAGTGTTTGCGGAAAACAGAAAGAATTTAGTGATGTTCGACAAGATGAACAGTGATGCAAAGTGATTTTTGCTCTCTCTTTTGTTGTAGTTATCAGCTACAAAAGTTATTTTCAATGAATTCAAACACTCTGTCTGCATCACCTTTGGCCTTTATTTGCCTGCTTTAGGCCACAAAAGCACGCCAACTTTGCTTGGTGTAAAATCTAGTTAACGGTTGTCAAGCAGCGCGGAATGAAATTGAAGCAGGTTCAGCAATAGCTCTTGTCTTCTTCGTTTCCTTCAAGGAAAAGCTGTCAGCTACAAAAATTCTGTTTCTGTTTACTTGCCTCTTTCTTTTGCAGCAACAACAAGTTAGCAGTTTGACGACTTCTTGTCGAAATCTTGGACAGCGAAATGAGTAAATCACAGGATTAGCTGCTGAACCGAGCAGAGCTAGTAACATGGAAAACAGCTGGTATTTCGTGGCGTTTTCTCCATTTCCAAATCGCGTCACGATGGGTCTTCCGAATGTAGGGGTCCAAGTAAATAGAAATGTCACAGTAAGGATAATAAATAGTTTTGTTAATTTGCGTCGTGACTTGAAAAGTGCATGATTTGTTGCTCTGTTGTCTTCGGTGTTGAACCATACGTGGTAAATAACCCGAGAATAACAGAAAACCATCACAGCACTCGGTAAAACAAAACCAAATGCCAGGAGCACAAAAATGTAAGCTGTGCCAAGAGTTTCAATCAAAGTTGGACTCCTTTCTGTTATGTTCGAAAGCGGTGAGCGGCTTGTTACATTCGCTCTAGCGTTTTCCCTTGAGGGAGATTGCGAAGCCTGACCCTCTATGATAATTCCTGCAGTGCCCAGAACACCTACGGCAATCCATATTACGACAAGGACTTTCCACATCAAAGATTTTCTCGCCCTTTTCATGTGCACAAAGGGCTTCAGAATAGCAAAATACCGCTCCACTGCCAGAGCAGCAAGAAAGTAGACTGAAGCCAAACCGTTGATGACAAATTGAAAAGAAGATATTTGTATTACAAATTTTTGCGAAACGCTAAGTATCTCGAGGAAAGTTACGACGCCGAAGCCGAAATCTGACCAAGCTAGGTGGGATATCAAGCATGTGTTTACGTTTTGCCATTTTTTGTTTCTGTTAACGACAGCACCGACGAGAAAGTTTCCAAAAATAGTGCAAACGAGAAGTGGAATAGACAATCCAGTTATGACTAACGTTAGCACATCCATTTGCAAGGAAAAAACTTCCGGAATGGCAAAGCGGCAACGCTTTGAATTTACTGACGTATTAAATGTGGAAAACCTGACCCCTTTCTTCGTTAACGAAAAACTAAATTACAACCCACTTCTTGGAAGTATATGTAGATATAATAAACGTCTTTTTAATAATTTACACAAGAGTTTATTGTAATAGTCCGTTGGTCAAACAAAGCTGCACAAGTTTTAATTAAAGCTCAACTTTTAATGTTGATGCACAACACCCTATCTACGTAGATAGGATAATATACTGTTAACAAAAACACACAGATAAGAACATCCCAACTAAAAAAGAAGACAAAAGTCACCGTGTATTTCTTTCTCTCTGCCTGCCGTGGAAACTTGTCGCAATTACTTTTTATCTTATGAACATAATATTTTCACTATAAATTTTCCTCTTTACTAAGCAAAGTAAACAAAATCAATTTTTTTTGACAAATCACCTAGATTAAAGTGGTTTCTCAAGTGCTTGTCATGTTTATTCCGCGAACTGAGTCATCTTATATTTGTGGCAAGCACAAAGAGCGTAAAACTGCCTTCTTTTTTCAGGTGATCAAACAAATATTAGCTAGTATTTAATAATACATTTTTCCTCTAGGCCTGAAAAGTCACTTAATTAAACCACCTTTTTCGCCAACGTTATTTTCTATGTGTACCCTGTTTAACTCGATCATTTAAAGTAAAGCAAACGGCCAATATCACCGAATCCCTATAACTCATACAAAAGTATAGGTTTAACTCAATGCACATTATATTGTCAGTATAAAATTTACAGCAGATTTTGCAATGAACCTCGCTTTAATAAAGCAGAGGGAAAAAAGAACTCAGCAATGGGCTTTTGTAAATTATTGGGGAGTATTAGATGATCAGTAATGTGCAAACATGGGCAGTTTTGCTCCCACAAAATAATACGATTTTCTTAAAATTCCAACATTCTTTATAAAGGTCTTCAAAAATCAGAGATCACTCATATCTTTCCTGCATGGCTAAACAGGCGGCTAGAGATGCAATCAGTGCGCAAATAAATAGGTCTATTAATTACTGATATTTACCACTGAAAATTTGAATCATAATTAGGACCGAGGGCATGTTTCTCGAAGGTCGATCCCGCGAAATTTTCGCACCCGGAAAGCCGTAGCAAAATCTCAAACCTTATGACTACAGAGCTGTTTTATTTACATATTCTTAATATGAACAGAAGTTCCCTTCATACAAGAAGTTTCAGTCGAATACAATTTTCTGTTTTTAGATACAAATTAACTAAAAATCCTTTTTGGGACCCGAAAAGTTTCCGGGGCGTTCAAGAAACAGACCCCGGGTCAAGCGCCGTACTTCACATAAGCCCAACCCAATTCAACCAATTAGGCTCATGTGAAGTTCGGCGTTTGACCCAATTAAGTTCGACTGACTTTATTTGGAGCGGCTGAGGCGTTCTTCACGCCTGGTCAGCCGTGAGTAACGCCTGAAGACCGACTTTGGGTCAAACGGCGATCTTCACAAGAGTCGAAACGCATAATCAAAGGTCTAAAGGCCGCTTTTGTCATCTGTTTGGTGTAGCAGAGCGGTTCGACTGAATTAAGTTCAACGTTTGACTCAAACAGGCGTTCTTTTAATTTTTTAAGTCGACCCAAACTGTCATTAGGTTCGGCCCATGCGAAGTACGGCGTTTGACCCGGGCTTAAGAAGCACTTTTCCGGCGCATCCTAATAATATGAATTTAATCATATGGTCAAGGACGAAAACCTGCCGAGACTAAATTTTATAGTAATATTAAAATTAACGAACAAAAACATAGTGATTAGCCATGTAAGAGCCTTTAAAACTTTGTTTGTTGTTTTTAGTTTAAATAGAAATGTCTTTTTAAACAAATAGCTCACAGCTTATAAAAGGTTGTTGAGAACAGATGTCATTCTACATTTTGCAAACAAAAAAAGATTAATTTCAATCTTGCTTTCCTGCGTCTGTATTATTACTCGAGTGAGAAAACTACTTCATTGTGATTGGCTGAGACGAGGCCAATTTAGGCGCTAATTTTTAATTTGCACTGCAGTTCAAATGCAGGCGTGTTCGTAATTTTTCTCAAAGATATGATAAATGAGTATTAAAGATTTACACTACTCGTAATATTCCAATATTCTATCAAATTGCAGACTCGCCTAAAGGCTCCTGCAATATTGAGGGAATTTTCAAATATCACCAGTAGTGTAAATTTTTAATTGCACTCAAAGTCAGTTCGATTACCTATACTT